TTAGGGTCCCTGAAGTCAGGAGACCATCCTGAACAATTCAGCTCAGGTTTCTTTTCAATGCACCTTGTGGCTAAAGATGAATAGATAATTGCCATTACACAGCGCCACCTAGAAGGTAATTGCACAAAATTTTGCACAGCCCCTCGGGGGATCATGCCACATAAGGTCATTGGTGTTGATCGGCCTTTCCGAACCTATGATATGACATCACTTCCTGGTTTTAGCGTTTGGTGTAAACATTTATTAGCTTATAATTCAAACATTTTTTTGCGTATCAATCTAACTTATCGGCTTCGTCCAGAGATGGTCCGTGCAAAGTCTGACGAGCGGCTTCGGAGGAGTTAATTATAATAGGTTTTTGCGAAAAAGTTAAGTCTAGGCTGAAATGAGCATGGCCTCTACAACGAGATTCAGCACAATCCCCCCGAACGCGTGGATATAAGTTTTTTGATATGCTCCTTCGTATGTGGGAGTTCCAAGCCCAAATGCGTTGACCTTGCTTAAAGCGCCCCCTAGAGGTTGAAGTGTGCAAATTTTTATCACTTTTATGTACAGAAGAAGAAGAATAATAAAAACGAATAGGATTACAATAGGGTTCGATACACTTCGATAAGAGCACTCACTTGAAATCTTCTCACCTGTAATGGTCGGCTGCTCATTTTTCTGTCCTTCTCTGCTGTCACCATGACTTCCGTCATCAGCCTGAGGTGGAGTGCTGTTTCCCTCTACATTCTGCACAGTGTAGTCATCTGGAGGAGACCCTTCTGTCTTGTCTTCAATAGAATCCCTTTCTGTGGTAAAACACCAAAATCAATTTTCACCCAAGTTATAGTCTGACTGAGCGACTATTCATTCTCAAATTCTACATAACCTATTTTCATTTCGATTCCAGATCCGGTAACTGATCAGACCGTTTGCTTTTTTCTTCAACATACTTTTTTCCTACCGTGGGCAACAAAACAAAACAAACGCTACTAGTTGCCATCCTAGCCATGTCATTAATAATATTCCATATGGTAAGTTTGTGAGATTAAGAAGAATATGTAGTAGAGAACAGGATTATCATATAAATGCTAAAGAAATGGCTGGACGATTTAGAGAACAGGAATATGATCAAGCACTTATTAACCAGGCTGTGGAAGAAACCAATAGAAAAGATAGGAAAGAATTATTGAAGCCTTCCCCTAAACCTGTTGGAAACAGAACAACATTTGTGTCAGAATATTGTACCATTTCTAGACAAGTTAAACATATCATAAACAAACATTGGAGTATCCTAGAATGTGACCCAAATTTGAACCATTTAGCAGTGTCTAGACCTCGTTTTTGCTTCAGGAGAGGCAGAAATATCAGAGATTTTGTTGTTAGTTCCATGTACAAAGAACCCACTCAAACTAATTGGCTTTCACTACAGCTTTATGGGAACTATAGTTGTGGCAAATGTGCACATTGTTCAAACACATTTGACACTAAAATATTTAATCATCCACATTCAGGAAAGAAATACAACATAAAAGAATTTACAAATTGTCTGTCTACCCATGTTGTCCATGGTTTGAAATGTCCATGTGGCTTAATGTATGTGGGCCAAACTAAACGGAATCTCAAAGTGAGAGTGGCAGAGCATAAGGCGGCCATTAGAAATGGGAACATGGATTATGCCATTGCTAGACATTATACAGAGAAAAACCATGGTTCGGCCACTTCCCTTAAATTTATAGGCATTGAAAGATTGAGTCCTAATCCAAGAGTGGGTAACATGATCAACTAACTTTTGAGAAGGGAAGCTTTTTGGATTCATGAATTGAACACAACTGAACCTCATGGACTGAATGAGACACTGGATTTGAGCCCATTCTTGTAATGTTGATTATTATGTCTATCGCTGAGGTGAGTTTTTTCCTCCAGAGAAAGTTTAGATAGTGAATACCCTACCCTCCCTTCGAGGGATATATGCTAAAGGTAGGAATGTCAGGCTATTTTGCCTTATGATATTTATGAGGTCTTGCAATGTTGTAATTCTTGTAACTTATGTATGTTTACATTTTTTAAAAGGGTGTGTGGATGGATGGATAGATAGATAGATAGATAGATGGATAGTTAGCTTGCTGTTTATGTCATGACACTTTGTATAAGATGCTGTTTTTGTGGGGGTTATGTAATGCATGGATTGTGCTAGTCACATGACCTGCACAGGATCTACTTAGCACACCTACTTTTGTAATTTCACTGTGTGAGCCTGAAGAAGCAATGGGCGAAACGCATTGCTCACAAATAAACTAGTAAGTCAGATCAGTGTGCAGTAGTTTGTTTTTTCATACTTTTTTCCTATTTATTTATTTCCTATTGATTTACAGTACACTTAGAGGGTTAATTGTAGGTAACACAAAGTAGATAACAAGACTGCAAAATGTAACAACGTTGGGGTTAAGTGAAGAGACATTTTGTGTCTTGCCTCTGCACATCCTGCAGAGACTGGGCACGGAGAGATATGTGTGTGTGCGTGTGTGTGTGAGTGTAGGGAAAGAGAACTAAGGGGAAAAGCGAGGGAGGGAGATTGAAATAGTAAGGTACAGAATGAAGTACAATTAAAATAGTGAAATAGGAAATAACCTGATAGAAATAGATTAGCAGCCCTCTGTCTGCCACCACCACGAAGGGAAACGTACACACAACCATCACGTTGAATTAGTGACTGGTTGAAAAAAAATCATTTTGGACATCAATGTTTGTCTATAAAGACTTCTTGACTTATACTATTTACTTACTTTGAGCATCATCCTGCTCCATGTCTTCATCATTGTTAATTTCAGACATTCTGTTTGAGGATGATGAAGCTGAATCTTTTTAGGTGAGTCAGAGGCCATATTTCACTAGTACAGACGATGCAGCAACACATTTGGTAAAGATACATTCAACTATTGACCTTGATTGAATATTTTACCTTTTGAGATGTGCTCAGTAATATTAGTTTCCTCCGGTTTGTACTTATAACTTCCTGAGACACAATCCATATGTGTGGACTGCGTGTCTTCTTCCTTTACATCTGACAAAAAAGTAAATGGCATATCAAATAAATATAAACCACTGTTGTAAATGTTTTGTAATGTACTAGCCCAATATATCTGATATCTAGCCTTTGTCACTGGTGTTTCAGTACCTGCTGTGTGCTGCTGGGCGTCTTGCTCTGCCATGTCTTTGGATGGGGGCACTTCACTCAAGATGGTTCAAAGCTGCATAAGAAAAATATATAACATTTGTTGTTATGCCAAAGCACATTTATTAGTTTTGGACAGATTCTCGTCACACGTCAAGTCCCAAGTAAAACAGGTTAGCACACCTGTCAACCGGCTGAAAGGCAGTCTTTCACTAACGTTACTCCTGAAAACTAAACTCCCATGTTTTCATTTACCAATGATTTGAAACAGAAAACATGCATGTTTTCCGATTAGATGAACTGGCAGCACATAATAAAACAATCAGCGTTACTTTTCAAACTCAGAGTTATTTACTTACCTGTTCCGATGGTTAAATTGTATATATATATATAAATAAATAATACGCAGGAGCTAATTTACAACGGAATATGGTTCAAGATGGTGACAGTTAGTTAACGTTAGCTATCCTAGCCAGTTAACGTAGCATTCTAACGGGGAACGAAGCTAATGCATCGTAAGTAAATTGTTGGTTAGCTAAATAGCCAGCAGGTTAGGATGTAAACAGTCAAGTTAGCTAGCTAAGCTAGTCGACTAAGAGATTCTATTTTTAGCCACCAGTTAGCAAGTAAAACATGGCTATAGTCTATAAGAATTGCTTTCGTGTACCTTAATCAAACTATTTTTAATTGGTTACTTGTCATGACTAATTCTTACCAAGCGTACCATCAATCACATCGCCAAAATAACGCTCCCTCCTTCCGTGTTATTCCGTACGTTGTTCGAATATGCAGAATAACGGAACGTTCAGCAGCGCTCGCGTTTCAACCGGATTCAACGGCTTCCTGTCACTTCTCACAACTACACGGAAGTCAGTTGTTTGTCTGTTCGTAGTATTGTTTGATTGGTGTTTCTGGCATCGCTCGAGTTGTAGCATTGGTTAATCCCAGATAGATTCCAGGGTATCTGGAAATAAGATGTCTCGCCGACAGACACGATCGACAAGACAGTCATCGGGTAACGTTAAAGGTGAGCAAAGTGACTAGTATGACAACTAACGTTTGCTAGCTTAGCCCTGCACGCTAGCTGACTTTAGCTCACTCAAAGTTCAACTAACGTTAACATTATCGGACTTTTCCAGACTGGAAATGAGCTGTGCGTTAACATGCGGGAGTTATTTGGCATTTCCTTTAGTCAACAGAGGAGAACACTGACTCACTGTAATAACTTTTTTCTGCTCGTTACTTAGAGACGTTATTGAGTATTGAGCCGACCGCCAGGGCTCCTCTAAAGAGGACCAGAAAAGCGTCAGAAAACCAAGCTCCTGTTGCAGCTGTCAATGGCTCCAGAGATGTGGAGAACGCCTCAGATGATGAAGGTGGGGTGCTCCAGTTAACAGTATTTTACGATGCGACAGTCTGTTCAATTCAGGGCGGTGTAAAAACACAATTGAAACTTTTATTTTCTATTTAACAGTGTCCCCTAACAAGAAGAGCCGGCTGCAGACTGAAGGAGCAGGGGGAGGCAGTGGTGACGACAATGAGATGGATATCCAGGAATCAGCTGAAGTCCTGGAGGAAAATGAAGACCAGGAAATGGATACTGGACAGGATTCCTCTCATGACACCCCTCAACCAAAAATATGCAAAGGTTAGGGCTGCAACTAATGAACATTTTTACCACCAATCAATCAGCCCATAACTCTCACTATTTTCCCGAGCCCAAGTCACATCTCCATATTGCCTGTTTTATGCAGTGGTCCAGAATTTAAATGAAGTGACTTTGATATAACTGGCCATTATACAAACACAAAAAGGCAGCACATTCTCACACTTTAGAAGCTGTATATTTATAATATTAACCATTTGCACGTGTGTTTTAATGCATGCAGGTGCTATCAATGACAAACGTAGCATCTTATTTGCAGCTGTACTCTGGTCGTTTTACCATGACATCATTAACCTTTTATTCATGACTTCTTGCCATTGGATCTAATTACAAGCAGTTTAGCTGTTTTATTTAAATTAAAGTTGCCCCTCTGTATAAATCAGGCGCCCTTGGAGATGTGAATTTGGACCCTTTTGTAGTGCTTGGTGAGCGCTGCCGATCCATTCATGCTGTAAATGAAGATGCTGACCGGATGAAAACCAAGACGGGTAGGAAGACGCTACAGCTTCATTCTGCATGATTACATCAAGGGAGGATAATACAGTCTCCTAATCTGTTTTTTTTTAATATTTTGTTGTTGTTTTTTTTTAGTAAAATCTTCAACAAAAGCAACAGTACCCCTCACCAAGTCTACTATGCATGTCAGTTCACAACCAAACAGACAAGACGTGCTGAGTTCTAAGACCACCAGCATGGCGGAATACAAGAGGACAGTGGAGGCCAAAGCCAAGAACTCTGGTATGGTAGACGTTTTATTTAGTCATATTTTACTCAAAAAGATTGCATTGAGCACCTGTTCAATGGATTTACATGTCTAAAAACTATCAGATATTTACACAATTAAATTCTGCCTCATCTTTAGGTACACCTACAGTTAACCACCATGTCCAAAGCGGGTATACAGTCTCAGAGAAATCCTACACAACGCGACAACGTGTGAATAACATTCTGACACACAAAGAAACTGTGACGCCCCACAAAAAAGGTATTGCAGCTTCAACTAAATATTACAGAAGCAACATCTACTGCAGCTGTGACATTTTTGACATTGATTTAATGAGATCATCTCTTTTAGAAGGGATAAATAAAGCTGCTGTTATCAAGAGAAGCTCTGGATATTCCTCTAGAGGTAAGCTATAGTCATTTTAATTACATTATTTGACATTATTACACCCAAAGTCAGTTGTTGTATATAATTTGCTGTACTACGTTTGACTGTCATCTTGTGTCCTTTCAGGATTCATGTGGTATTTCTGCAGCTTGGTTCTCCTGGTGCTGCTCGGCGTTGCTGTCTTGCTGGCATGCAAGACCATCCCTACACTCCAAAGGCCTGCAGATGATGGAAAGCATCCATCTGGGGTTGTGAAGTCAGACAAGTTTGCAGATCACTTGTCTCTTCTTGAGACTCAGTTCCCCAGGCAGCGGCCTGAGGTGTGGAAGAGGAGCAAGATCCACCTGGGGAAGCACCTCAGAACAGCCCAGCCCACAGAGCCAGTCAGTCTGATCTTTACTTCTGGCCACAGGGCTGAGAAGACACTGCACTGCCTGGCTCAGGGGCTCGCCTCCTCCTTCTCATCTGCCCTCAACGCCTCCGTCCTCCACATTGATGGAACGAGTAAAGCAGGCCAGGACAGCAATGAGGTGAAGCTGGACATTGACAATCAGTTACGAGCAGCCTTTGAAGGAGACAAACCTGCGGCTGTCATTCATCGCTTCGAAGAGCTGCCTCCAGGCTGCACCCTAATCTTTTATCGCTACTGTGACCATGAGAACGCCGCATACAAGCAGGTGTTTCTGCTGTTTACTGTGCTGCTGCCTCAAGATGAGGTCAGGGATGATCAGAGTCTGAAGGACGTGGAGGAGGTGGTGCATGACTATGTCAAGGAAAGGCTGGTGGACTCCAGCAGTCAGACTGCCTTTGATGAGATGGACACTGACAAGTTTGGGGGACTGTGGAGCCGCATCTCGCATCTTATCTTGCCTGTGGTGTCTGAGACAGAAGTAGAGCAGAGAGGATGCAGATGAAGCTGGCATCAAACTGGAAGTCTGGTTACCACTTTGGACCAGCTTGGATCTTCTTGGCACTGTGCAGGAGCTACAAAACAGAGAAGTAATGTAAATATAACATGTGTGCTGTTATTCTTCACATATAGACTTGAGTTCAGGTGTTTGAGGGTTGTATTCATCTCTCTCTCTCTGTGTCAGAGATGATGATGTATTCAAGCTGCAGTCCAATATTACTACTCACAATATGTCCAGCACTGAGTTTTTACATATATGTGTACATGTACAGACTTTGCATGAGGATGTAACATGGTTTTGCATTATCAATCCAATTCCAAAGATGGGTATGAAATGCGTATTTCCATGCAGATTTAGAGTACAATATACAAGGTATAGATTGTTTAATTTCTTTTCTCATAAATCTGTACCAACAGCGCTTTGTTCAACAGCGTTTTAGCAGACATTTCCCATCTAAGAAGAGTTTTTGGTGTTTATTAAGCATGGTTCCTTCTTTGGAAATAACAGAAAATGTTTCATTTTTGTTCTAGGTGGAAATTAATATCTCTTGTTCTGTTTTAAATCTCCCAGACAACTGATGGCTTGCTTGTGTACATAATTGTTCTGTTTTGCACTGAAAGTGTTTTTTGTGTTTGATTTTGCTTTTGACTATCCATCTTACGAAGAGTACTGGCTTTTATTACGACAAATATTTTATATTCTTTGTATTTTTCTGAATGTGTATATTTGTGAAATGTTGTCTCTTTCCAAAATAGGACTATTTTTTCTATGGCTGTATATATTTATATTGGATATAAAAAGGTTTGTGCTTTGCACCTGTTTGTCAAGAAACCACTGAAATGTACTTACAATATTGTGAACTTAGAAACATACAGGTTCTCACTAAGTGAATTTGTAGAATGACTAAATATTAGCCAGCCAGTCACAAAATGTGCCTTAAAAACTCATATGGAGAATATTAGACTATAATTGAAAAGTACCAACACACTCATCAATCGTTTGATATTGTTTCTCGACAACATCAGAATCCCAACAAGGTTTCTTATAGCTATATTTTTATGATTTGTGTGTTCTGGGATTACACTCATTCCTCTTCTGGCATCATTCTGAAATGTATTTTGTTTTGCTCACATGAATACATTTTCAATAAAGATTATTTTGATAACTAGACGAGTTAATTGTCTAACCCATGGAAGCGGTTCGCCTCCTGTGTGCTTAGTTTCTGGAACACTTCACACAGTGGCATTAGATTATATTTATAGCATTTTTATACCTACCACAGGACCTACCTAACATTGGATGTTAATTACTTCATGCAGTTCACCTTTGTGGAAGCATCTGCATTTGTTATGTTTCTACTCTCAATTATTTAGGTTTTTCATTTAATTTTCCACCTGTCTGTATATATGCAAGATGATAATAATCACAGTAATTAAACATACACTAATGACACACTCTTATGTGGGACCAAGGGAATAAATGACTGGTTGCAAAAAATCACTTGGGCCATCAATGTTTGTCTATGAAAGACTATTGTACTGAAATATATATATATATATGTTTATGTATGTATTTGGAAAATGAAAAACTACAATAATAATCGCTCAAATATACCATCATAAATAAAATCAAGTCATTCTGAGGCAGAAAGAACCTTTTAGTCAATAAGTACAGGCTGCAATCCCTTTTTGTCAAGTGCAAACCTGACAATCTTACTGGTTGTATTGACCCTTTAAAAGGTACCTCAACAAATTACTGTGAAGATATAATCTGTCAAATACAATGCTCAAGAATGAAGTAAAGTCATTCAGAGGCAAAAAGAGGCTGCAATTACTTTTTGTCAAGTGCAAAACTTCATTGTATGGGTTATATTGGCCCTTTATTAGGTTTGTTATTAAGTTTAAATTTAAATTTCTAAAGGTTAAAAACACTGGGTGGGTTATAATCTGTCAATTATAATGCTAATTAAAGCAAGTCATTTTGAGGCATAAAGAACCTTTCAGTAATAAAGGGGGAGCTGCAACATATAGGCCTAATTCATTTGGTAAAAAGGACTGGATTTGTTATCATAAAGTAAGTATTCTATTCTAATGTAGGGTCATAAGGATCATTGCAAGAGAGATGCTTTGTTTATATTATAGGAGAGATCGGGTTAACAACACCAATTCTACCTATTAGAGATAAGATGGGAGTTATGTGATCATTTCAGTATTTACCTTCTTCCGTGATCCGGCATGTTGTTTTTCAAGGCTGGAAACCGTTACATTCAGAATATATAGAGAAAAAACAGATTTTGAGGTCAGAAAGTAAATTTTTTTTTTAGTATCTGTACTATTGCAGATAACATTTTTGAATTATATTAGATTGAAATGTAGTTTCGTAGGCAGCATGTGATGCATTTTTTCCTTTGTAAAACCACAATGCTAATACAGCTAGCTAAACAATGGCTAACAGGGGTGGGGTGGGTTGCAACACTCCTTTAAAAAGTGTTACAATCATCCACTATACATACAATTAAGGACTTTCTTAATTTTAATATTTTATAGAGTGCCCTTTGCAGTCAGGGCAAGCCAAGCCTGCACTCCAGGGTTACCAGCATTCATGTTGGCATGTGTTTCGGCACTCAATCTTCTCAATACTAAACAAGGTTTCTAACAGATTTTACTAATTTGTGCAAATGTAAATTTCAAAATAGTGTTCTGTGATACTGCTCATTCCTGTTCTGGCATCATTCTGAAATAATATCTGCCTGTGGGCTACATTTTCAATGAAGATTTTGATAACTACAGTTAATGTCTAACCCATGGATGTGCATCCCTTTTGTGTGCTTAGTTACAGGGACACTTAACACAGAGACATTAGACTTAATAACGGCTCTTGGACCTTTCTACATGTAACATAGCCCAGAATATAAACCTGCTTTTTGTTGTGTGATAATGAAGGTGCCACAACATCTTATGTGTATAGTATCGATCTTGGAAACTAGGAATTTACAACTGTACAACAGGGGGAGTTCAATTATTTACTAAGCGGTTAAGAGGTATGTATGAACCGTAGAGTTCAACTGAGTGATCTTGTTAACAGACACTGTATATTTGTCTACATAAATTATCTAAATCTAACTGTAAAATGTTTCCTGGAGCATCAAAGTGAAAATGAGTAAGAGGCTGCAACATTGTCAGTGTTGTGATAAGAAACGAGGAAATTACAGAAGGCTAAGTCAGTAGTAGAAAGTTTATTAACTGAACGTGGACACAGCTGAAGTTTGCTTCCTTCAAAAAGACCATAAAAATGAATCATCATGTATAAATCACAACCGCTGGTGACACTAACATAACTAGATTTTAAAATGTCCAAATGTTTGAATGTAAAATATATTAAAACTGGTTTACATAACTGTAATTTACACATTAATAATTCAGGTTCAACAATTCACATGGGTTTGACTTGTACTTGGGAATTTCTCTTTTTGTACTCAAAACATTGTAACACAAAACACAGATTGGTTTTACTGTGTAGATTTGCAAGTATTGCTATTGCAAGAGGTCATATATGGTGAGTCCTTGTATTGAAACCTTGTATGTTGAAAGCAAAAACAGACAATGAATTTCAATTAAGTTGAATGGCATCATGCACATATATAAAAAAGCTGTTTATAGTACTGGACACATTCTGATATAATTATATTCAGACAACTTATGGTAAAACTTGATATCTTTTCAAAATGAAGTTAATTATCTCTCTCAATTCATATCGATCACTATGACACATTATTTTCATCCTTACACACTGAACTCTGAGCATTTCCATGACCTCAGATACTCCTGGCATAAGCAATAACAGGCTGAGTCATGAGGTCAGCAGACTGACACATTTTATGACCCATTTACACTACCGTTCAAAAGTTTGGGGTCACATTGAAATGTCCTTATTTTTGAAGGAAAAGCACTGTACTTTTCAATGAAGATAACTTTAAACTAGTCTTAACTTTGAAGAAATACACTCTATACATTGCTAATGTGGTAAATGACTATTCTAGCTGCAAATGTCTGGTTTTTGGTGCAATATCTACATAGGTGTATAGAGGCCCATTTCCAGCAACTATCACTCCAGTGTTCTAATGGTACAATGTGTTTGCTCATTGGCTCAGAAGGCTAATTGATGATTAGAAAACCCTTGTGCAATCATGTTCACACATCTGAAAACAGTTTAGGTCGTTACAGAACCTACAAAACTGACCTTCCTTTGAGCAGATTGAGTTTCTGGAGCATCACATTTGTGGGGTCAATTAAACGCTCAAAATGGCCAGAAAAACAGAACTTTCATCTGAAACTCGACAGTCTATTCTTGTTCTTAGAAATGAAGGCTATTCCATGCGAGACATTGCTAAGAAATTGAAGATTTCCTACAACGGTGTGTACTACTCCCTTCAGAGGACAGCACAAACAGGCTCTAACCAGAGTAGAAAAAGAAGTGGGAGGCCGCGTTGCACAACTGAGCAAGAAGATAAGTACATTAGAGTCTCTAGTTTGAGAAACAGACGCCTCACAGGTCCCCAACTGGCATCTTCATTAAATAGTACCCGCAAAATACCAGTGTCAACATCTACAGTGAAGAGGCGGCTGCGGGATTCTGGGCTTCAGGGCAGAGTGGCAAAGAAAAAGCCATATCTGAGACTGGCCAATAAAAGAAAAAGATTAAGATGGGCAAAAGAACACAGACATTGGACAGAGGAAGACTGGAAAAAAAGTGTTGTGGACGGATGAATCCAAGTTTGAGGTGTTTGGATCACAAAGAAGAACGTTTGTGAGACGCAGAACAAATGAAAAGATGCTGGAAGAATGCCTGACGCCATCTGTTAAGCATGGTGGAGGTAATATGATGGTCTGGGGTTGCTTTGGTGCTGGTAAGGTGGGAGATTTGTACAGGGTAAAAGGGATTCTGAATAAGGAAGGCTATCACTCCATTTTGCAACGCCATGCCATACCCAGTGGACAGCGCTTGATTGGAGCCAATTTCATCCTACAACAGGACAATGACCCTAAACACACCTCCAAATTGTGCAAGAACTATTCAGAGCAGAAGCAGGCAGCTGGTATTCTATCGGTGATGGAGTGGCCAGCGCAGTCACCAGATCTGAACCCCATTGAGCTGTTGTGGGAGCAGCTTGACCGTATGGTACGCAAGAAGTGACCATCCAACCAATCCAACTTGTGGGAGCTGCTTCTGGAAGCGTGGGGTGCAATTTCTCCAGATTACGTCAACAAATTAACAGCTAGAATGCCAAAGGTCTGCAATGCTGTAATTGCTGCAAATGGAGGATTCTTTGACGAAAGCAAAGTTTGATGTAAAAAAGATCTTATTTCAAATACATATCATTATTTCTAACCTTGTCAATGTCTTGACTCCATTTTCTATTCATTTCACAACGTATGGTGGTGAATAAGTGTGACTTTTCAGGAAAACACAAAATTGTTTGGGTGACCCCAAACTTTTGAACGGTAGTGTATGTGCTGAAGTTTTATCTCATTGGCCTTCCTTTAGCCCTAAAACACAAGGGGACATTTATGTCATGAGTGAGTTCTCCACATTTTATAACATCTATGTTTATGAATTCAATACTTAAGCTAGTCTATATGAAGTATAGCAAGGCTTGTTTTTCATAAGATAAGCACATTCCACACATTACTCATGAGGACATGATCACAACATTAAAAACATTCCCCAACTGATGATGACGACTGGTATGTCTGGCACAAGGTGATACATACAGTAATTATAGGCAAGTGGATCTTTAGCAAATATTTGCAGTTTCACCTTGTTGACAGGCTTAACTCTGATAAGATGTTATATGACCTAACAATTAAACTTCCTTGGAAAATGAACAACCCATTTTATGGTATGTAATATGTTAATAACACTATCCAGTTTGTTTAGTCTAACTGTTAGGTTGTACTGGTATCATATGTACAAAACTGTGAATCACATGCAAGCAAAGTACCAGAACAGGCCTATTTTTCCAGACACCCAAATATCCCAGCAATGACAGCTGCAGCAAAGGACATGTTTCCAATGACGAGGATTACTGAGACAGCGGTGACAATCACATTGGCTGCACTGAGCGTCTTCTGAAATTCAGAGGTTCAGCGGAAAACGTGAAAAACATTTTTACTGTGATGTCGCACATGACAAAACAAGATGTTAGCAGAACATGTCACAATGTGGACAGGCTCACCTTTCTTCTTTGTTGCCTCCATCCCTCACCTGTTTTTAAACTCCCTGTAACAGAAAATACTGACTGATATAATTTTGTTCTTCATAAGAATCCTTAGCCTACTGTATTTTGTGCATAGTAACAGTAGTACAAGCTATTCACCTATTTTGCTTCCCCCCAGTATTGCTTTTCCGTGAGCAGTGAATACGAAAACCCAAATTACAAACAGCAAAATCCACGCTGTGTAAGCGACCATCACTTTCAGAAGCCAAGACTCTGTCCTGTTCTTACTGCAACTGTCAGTCTTGATAACACCAGTAAAGATCACAGCAACTGTGTGTAGAACAAGTTTGGAAATTAAAACCAGAGCAATAAACAGGCAATGGCAACATTGGTTAGTTTGTCTCTGTCTTAAAGCAGTAGTTCAAAATTTTGGGAAATTTAAGGACACAATGCTTTCCTACAATCTGGGGTCTGCATACACATTCCTCACATTGTGCGATCGACCTCCTGACAGTAAGAAGAAGGAGTTTGTTGTAAAAGACAAAAATAGACAATGGTGTTTGTAACCAATTGATAAAATGGGACTAAGGATGGTGAATACAGTACAAGTCCATGAGGTTTCTTTTAACACGTTAGCAGATGACAACATGAATGGCCTTAACTCTCAAAAAAAAAATGTATTTCTTCAGGCCTATGTATTTCCTTGAATGTTGAAACAATTGCTTTAAAAAGTCTTCAGACAGAGCAAAATAAATACCGGAAAGTTTACAAGTATCAGGTAAAAATCAGGTATAACTTACTTGTAAAAATCATATGGATGACAGAACACACTTTGACAGCAAGGTCACAGATCTCCTTTCTTGAATAGAACAAAAGAGAAAACCGCTGTGCACAGTGTTGACATAAGGGTCAAGTCAAAAATTCAGGCAGAAGAAGAGGAGTTGAACTTACAGCTCATGACTGGGTCCAATTGGCAGACTCAGGATTACCAGCTCTATCAAATCAATCAATATCATCACACACACAAGAGCAACGAGAGTGACCTGAACATACACAGACACACACAGACACACACACACACACACACACACACACACACACACACACACACACACACACACACACACACACACACATATACACAAACATTAAAAATAACCTTAGAACAATTCAGAAATTTGGAAATCCATAGAGAGAAGTGTTCTCTGAAAGTGTGAAAAGTGAAGTCACTACTTATTATTACTCACTTCAGAGGAATCACACACACAATACAAGATTGCTGCCGATATTTCAACTGCGGTGCAAAGCAAACAACAGGATATCTGTGTCCCCTACAAAAGAAATAAAATGCAATTTCAATTATGCTGCTGAATAATTAGTATTCATTTAGTGTTTGTTTTTCAAGGCACAGATACAGAAGCACTGGACTGGGCCTGCAAATGCCATTTAGCATTTATAGCCTATGCTGATTTGCAGTGTAAAATCTTTTTTGTAAAATTACTTTTCAAATTCACGGGAAACAGGATGAGTAGATCTAGAAACAGTTACTGTGACAGCACAAGCCCTCCAACTCATGCGTTACCTTAATTAGACGATGAAGGTAGGGGCTGCTGGTGAGGGTGGTTGCGATTATGTTAGGTAGTTCCTGAAGAGACATTCATATTCTTGTATAATTATTTTTGATAATTAGTGTTTAGCCAAGTTACAGCTTTAGTAGGAATACTGTGTAACAGTGACATGAGTTTATAAATACCATACCAGTTTCAGTCCCTCAAATAAAGCGTCAAAGGTCATCAGCCTGGTGGCTTCTCCCTGAAGACAAAACAATGATGAGCTGTGTAAATGAAACTGTTGAATTTTATATATTCATGGATAGATTTCTGATCAAATCCACCTTTCTTTTGCTCCCAGTGTTGTTCGGTGTCTTCGTAGTACCGATTGTACTACTTGTTGTAGTACTTGCCTCTGTAGTACTTGGCTGATTACTCATAGTACTTGTCTCTGTAGTACTTGTAGTACTTGGCTGATTACTTGTTGTAGTACTTGTCTCTGTAGTACTTGGCTGATTACTCGTTGTAGTACTTGTCTCTGTAGTACTTGTTGTAGTACTTGGCTGATTACTTGTTGTAGTACTTGTCTCTGTAGTACTTGGCCGATTACTCGTTGTAGTACTTGTCTCTGTAGTACTTGGCTGATTACTCGTTGTAGTACTTGTCTCTGTAGTACTTGTTGTAGTACTTGGCTGATTACTTGTTGTAGTACTTGTCTCTGTAGTACTTGTTGTAGTACTTGGCTGATTACTTGTCGTAGTACTTGTCTCTGTAGTACTTGTTGTAGTACTTGGCTGATTACTCGTTGTAGTACTTGGCTTTGTAGTACTTGCTGGAGTACTTCGCTGAGTACTTGTAGTAATACTTGGCTGAGTACTCATCGTGGTACTTGGCTTTGTAGTACTTTGTGGTGGTGGCGGTGAAGTGACATTCACATCCACTCGTTCCCAGAATATATTAAAAGACTCAACAAATGTGGCTCTGAAATATATCAGACACTGATGTTAAAGTAAATCTGTTTGCTCCACAGTGGAATATTAAATAAAACTGTAAAAGTTCAGTTTTATTCTTGACTTTTAGAGGTCATCAAAGTGTACAAATACCTGAAAGTGATGTCTAGCTCTTCTGCCGGAGCTGTCCAGTTAACTCGAATTAAAGATTTTCTTTGATTGTTTTTTTGACTCACAGCTGAGTCCTGAGGAGAGTGATAAAAGACTTTGATCTTGAATTTCCACTCAAGTTCATTTAAATGTGTTAATTAAATTGGATGTGGAAAATATGAATATTCAATTTAACATTTCAATGCATTTACTAACTCTAATAATGACGACATGGGTTGGTTACTTACTACTATATCACCACACGTCAGGAGTTGAGAATTTCTAGCGTCAAGCAAGATAAATTTTCCAACAGGCCGGCCATCGTCCACCATGCTTTTGTTTCGAGCCTCCAACATAAATCCCCTGAACTGTGTGGATGACTTGCTCTTGAGAAAAACTGGAAAATGGTTCGGAGATTTATCAGGACGCAGGTGGAGGGACAGAAAATGGAGACAGTGTTAATCTTGCGCTTAGTGAATGACCACTGCAACAAAGATTCATAGTGACAAATAAGCCTTCATCCAAAAGTCTCTGTACCTGTAATAGGGTCTCCCTTTTTACCATGTTCGTAACGGACCTCAAAGGGCGGTTGAGTGTTCTGAGGAGCGAGAACTTCCCCTCTATTTTTATGCCTAGGTGACATTGTATGACATACTTCCGGGAAGTAACCACTTGCATAACCGCACACTTTTGTGATGATGCTTAGGCTAACCAACGTCCACAGCCACATCTGTAAAACAAGTGTGCAAAGCCATCTGTAAATGCGATAAACCCGATATGAACACGTCTTTTTTTTCCCAGCCTTCTTCCTAAACATGCAGTCGCTGAGGATTGACTGGAAAACTTTCACATTGATAGTATGCTGACAAATTGATACCATAAGTATCAGTTTAGTTTCATACTGTAAATATTCAGAAACATTTTTCAATTGTTAGGTCTACAGCTCGTTGCACCAGTACCTCTGCTTTAAATGACATAGCGATTAAGTTAAGCTTTAAAGCTGTAACACTTTCAATTTGATTTATGGCATTTTAAGCCCTCAGTGGAAAATAATTAAATATCTGATGATAGTAACTTTTTCTCTTACCTTAAAATAAAGTATTTCCATGAAACCATAAGATTAAAAAAATTGCATCTCTTTAAGAAAAATATAAGAAACCTTAGGAATGTCTTCGCAGAAAGGGATTTTCCTTCCACGAGAGTAAGGCATGTAGTGTGTCAGAGAGCAGTGCAACAACTCAGCAGAACAAATGAGGAAGTTTTAGGGCAATCAAAGTTCACTGCTGAACCCGCCCATATGCACAGCTAAAATGATCAACAAAATACAGTTTCCCTTTACCTCTGATTAGATCTGTGTAATGTTTAGCCCCATGGTGGAAGGAGGAGACATGGACTCAGGAGTTCTTCACCTGGTGCTTCAATTTATTTCTTCACCAGATACATGGAAAGTGCAGTTGTGCAAGTGTGAATTATTGCAAAAATATATCTAAAATTAAAAAAACAACAACAAGGAAACTAAGTATAAACTATTCAAATTATCATTACAAACTGATAATAAAAACCACAATAAAAAAAAACCTATAGCAGGCCCTGACTATTGGGCTCTAGCACATGTGCCCTTCCAGGCCAAAGCTGTTCTGCCGAGAAGAGCCTCTGCTAGTGATGGCAGTGCGACACTGAAGCTTCGATACACGCTTTAAACCCCCGGACTGCAATCCTATTGAACCACTGCTTCAAAGCTTGCTTTGGTGTGAAAAAATAAATAAATCACGTGACATGTGACGTCCGAAGCAGCAACTGCTTCACTTACTGAATGAATCACTGACTGGTTCGCGGTCTAGTCACGTGATTCACTGGCACTGCCTCGATCGACTCGAAAGTGAGTGTTGTGCACCCCATCTAAACACATTCACCCCCTGTCATAGTTACACAAGCGCATCCAACCTGTGCCATATTTCTCAGCACTCTCTCCTCAATAACAAAATTCATGTATTCATCAATCTTTGTTCAAACATAATGTTCAGTCTTAGTGTGTATCAAAGAATTTTCAAAGTAAATATACTTTAAATCCAAGGGTGATTAAAGCAGAGATTCTTTATAACTAATGGTCTTTACTACGAAAGTAAAGTAGTTTCTCCAGCACTGCTCATCGAGGGGCGTGCGAGTATGTAATTAAAAACCTCCTGTCCACCAGCTAGCCTGTCTAATTTGCCTGCAGCCTTGAACTTGGCCAGGAGAGGTCCCTGTAACTGAAGCTTCAAGTAATGAACCCATTTTTTAAACAATTTGCTCAGGTGGTTCAGTGCTTCACAAAAGCTTAATTTGCTCATCACTAGCCTCTGCCTCCTTCCTTTATACCAGAAGCCCCTCCCACAAGACAAACCAAAGTTAATTGAAAATCAATTAAACAATATTATGTTACCTCAACAGTCCAAAACATTTCTGGCTACATCAATACACAATATATCAACTATAAAACCAGAAATGAAATGTTACATACTGAACAAAGCTTCTCAAAACAGCAACTTAAGGTACTCCAGTACACCCCTCTGTACTGGCTCACACTTGGACTATTCCAGGTCTTTCCGCTTATAAATTACTCCACACTCCATTACTTCTTGTTTGCCACTTCGACCCAGATCCCTGCTTGAGGATGAGAACAGGTGAATGAAACATACAAACATTTGGATGACCTTGGGTAAATCCAATAAGCTAAAATAAATGACTTGAAATGAACTGTGTATGTGCTGTATTTATCTAATCATGATTTCAACTCTTTCGACTAGTACGTAAATGAACTGAAATGACATGAAATGACAAGCCATGTGTCCATTGATGCTAGCCCATATGCTAAGGTAATGCTATGCTAATGCTCAGCTAAGGTTAGCTTAGCATGCTAAGACCAATGTTACTGCTGGCTTAAATGAAGGCATGGGGTAGCCCCATGACATTTCACATTCCTCCCTCTGAAGATGACCCCTGTGGCGTCCTAGAATGGTAATCAGCTGTGCAGTTCTCTCTCCCTTTCCTGTAGAGAACATCAAAGTCAAAAGGCTGTATGGTGAGAAACCGTGTTATCCTGGAATTGGTCTCTTATTCTGGAGCCATGTCCATGCCCGGTGGTCTGTCTCTAGAATGAATTTCTATCCCAGTAGGTAATAGCGACGAGAGTCCAACGCCTACTTAATGGCATTCTCCACAAAACGCCTATACCAACCCACCAAGCCCAGAACTGACATGACTTGTGACTTAGTTCTAGGTCTTTCGGCTGACAAGATAGCATCTACCTTTCCAACTTGAGGTCTGTTCACTCCCTTCAGATTAGACAGGTGATCCTCCCAGCTGGAACTATAGACCACCACATCATCTAAGTAGACCACCGCATAGCCCTCTGTGCCCTTCAGCAACCTGTCCATCTTCTGAAATGTTGCAGGGGCCCCATGCAGGCCAAAGGGGAGCACTGTGAACTGGAAGTGTCCAAAAGGGGTTTTGAATGCTGTCACCTCCTTGTGTTCTTTGGTGAGTGGGATCTGCCAGTATCCCTTACATAGGTCCAGTGTACTGATGAAGTTGGCACTGCCTAGTCTCTCAATGAGATCATCAACCCTGGGCATGGGGTATAAGTCCAACCTACTAACACCATTGACTCGTCCAAACAGAATCTTAATGTTGTATCTTTCTTTGGCACCAGAATTATTGGGCTGCTCCATTCACTGACAGAAGGCTCTATCACTCCTATCTCCCTCATCATGTCCAGCTCTTTTTTCAAAACTGGCAAAAGACACTCTGGGACTCTGTACACTGGTTGATGGAGAGGGGTTGGGTCCTTTAAAGCGATATGATGGAATACCACCTCTGTTCTTCCAGGTGTCTGTAGAAAAAGGTTGAGAGGCAAGATGTCAAGCAGCTCCTTTCTCCTCCCATCTGACAGGTGAGTGAGATCCAGTTGCTTCTCCTCTTCAGTAGGTAGATATTGTTCCACCAAATCCTCCTCTTCATCCACAGCTCAAACAAAGAGAGAATGGGGTACAGATGCCTCTGGAACTGACATGGGGACCCATTTCTTCAGCATATTAATATGAAAAGTGGTTGTTTCCGTTCTGGCATGAAAATCTGGTAAGTCACCTCACCCATCTTCTGCTTGACCTCACAAGGGCCTTGCCATTTTGCCAGTAATTTATTTTCTGATGTTGGCAAAAGTAACAATACCCGTTCACCTACTGCCAAGCTCCTTTTTCTGGCTTCACGATCATACCATTGTTTCTGTTTAGCCTGGGATTTCAGTAGATTGTCACGAGCCATGGATGTGATTTTCCCGCATCTTTAGGACAAAGGAGATAATGTTCATAGTCTCTGGTGGATCAGAATCCTCCCCCATTTCACGCAGAACATCCAGATGACCTCTGACCTGATGACCATAGATGAGCTCAAAGGGGGAAAATCCTGTTGAACTCTGGGGAACTTCACGGAAAGCAAAAAGCAAAAATAGGAGCCACTTATCCCAGTCCTTTCCTGTGTCTGACAAACGTTTTAAGCATACTAATCAAAGTTTTGTTGAATCGCTCAAACAGTCCATCAGTCTGAGGGTGGTAAGGGGTGGTTCTCACTCTCTTAATACCCAACAGCTGATAGACTTGAGAAAGTGTGCGGCTCATGAAATTTGGACCTTGATCAGTCAGAACTTCTCTGGGGATTCCTACCTGGCTGAATAACTTAAGCAAAGCTGTAGCTACCTGTTTAGCTGTTACTTCTCTTAAGGGGTAGGCTTCAGGATATCTAGTAGCATAATCACAAATGACTAAAATAAACTTGTTGCCTGTCTGACTCCTTTTTACAGGACCAACAATATCTACACCTATTCTCTCAAAGGGAGTAGAAATGACAGGGATTGGAATGAGGGGTGCAGGAGCTGTATGTTTTCCTGCAGTGAGCTGACACTCTGGGCATGTTTTACAGTAGTTATGAACCTGGGTATACATTCCTGGCCAGTAAAAGCTCTTACTTATTCGCATGAAAGTCTTCATGAAGCCCAAATGACCAGCCCACGGAACAGTATTGACCTACCCTGAGCACCTCAGCCCTCGATACCTCAGGAAGACTGTAGCACTCTTGAATCTGATTCAACCTCTGGATCAACTAACACCGGTAAAGGTGAGTGTTCCTTTGCCTTAGACCTAGTGATAACTCCACACAACTTCCCCCTCCACTCTTGAATTAAGTCCAAAAGAATGGGACAAGCAGTTCCTAATAACACAGGATATGTATGGCAACTCTGGAGTTACCCCTACTTTGATGAGGTAAGGTTGGTTGTGTACTTCTAAATAAACCTCTGCTGTGGGCACCACAGACGTGTGGCAATGAACACAAACAACTGGTTCTGTCTCCTCTATATTCCATAGCTCTTGGCTTCCACACAAACTTGGGCTGGACAAGAGATCGAGTACAACCTGCGTTTAGCAATGCAGTTAGGGGGTCTACCATTTACCAGGACTGTAAAAGTTAGCTAATCAGATGACTCTGGGAAAGGTGCAACCCTAGGCCTTGGACCATAACACAGGTTTGTAGCTTTGGACTTTTTAACTGGACAAAAGGGGCGTGTGTGGCCTGCCTCACCACAGCTGTGACACACTACCTCTGCTTTGCGACCTGACCAAACCCTTTGGTTAGTCTGATCTACATGTGAAGGTTTTCTACAGCTGGCCTGACCCTGTGTATGGCTACTTGAACCACCCCCTTTCAAAAACCCCTCAGACTTACCCCCTTGGAGTCTGCATTGTCCAGCATAGCGGTAAGATCCCAGTCCCTTGTGAGCAGACACATAGGCAACCACCAGTTTAGCAGCCATTGCAGCAGTAGTCGGATCATGCTCCTTGACCCAGGCTTTCGCTTCTGGATAAAGCACCTTCAAATACTGCTCCAGGACCATTTCCTGTCTACCATCTTCATCATTTCCTCTTTACTGCAGGTGTCGTACTGGACCCATTTGCAAAAAGAGTCTTTCAGTCGAGTATACAGTTCTTGGGGGGGACTCCTCAGCCGGTGTGTCATAAGAGCGGAATCATTGACAGTAAGTTTCTTTTATTTGATACTTTTGCAGCACTGCAGCTTTCAACAAGCCATATTTCGTTGTATCTGCTGGATTCATTGCCACAAAAGGCCCCTCTGGCCTTTCCAGTCAAAAGTGGGATCAGACATATGGCCCACTCTTGCTGTGGCCAGTTGTAGACCTCAGCCAACCTCTCAAAAG